CAAGGCCAGATTGGACAGGGCTTGGAGCAACTTGGAATAGTGGAAAGTGTCCCTGCCCATGGCAGGGGTTGGAACCAGGAGATCTTTCAGATCCTTTCCAACCCAAACCTCTCTGTGATAATGTACTGCATGGAGTGTGCTGTCTGGAACGTTTTGCTTATAAAAAGTAATTTCTGAGAAGAGGATTTGTTTTAAGATCTCAGTGGCTTCTTCAAAGGGCTGTCATGGATGGTAACAGCAGGACTCAGGCAGGTTCCAAACCTCTCATTGTCAGTACACATCGTGCTGGATGGAACAGGATGGCTCAGGAGATTTTTCTGTCAAGTGCAGCTGCCCTGTCTGGGTCACTGGCTGAAGGAATCCTCCACTAAGCACCATGGATTTTGAACACAGATCTCTTCTCCCAGCAGCAGGGGCTGTGAGAAAAATTCTTGAGCAGTTTTGGGGTGTCATGGCCCAAACTGGGGGAGAAGAAGCCTTGTTTTTATGAAAAATCCTTTCCCCTTAGGATTTTTCCTCCAGAGAAGCTGAGAGGCCTCAGGAACAAAATGTAAACATTGATTATCTGCTGCTGTGGAATGCAACAGGTGCATCTGGGATTGGTCTCATGTAGTTGTTTCTAATTAATGGCCAATCACAGTCAGCTGGCTTGGACACTGTTGGTTCCACAAGCCTTTGTTATTCATTCTTTCTCTTTCTATTCTTAGCTGGCCTTCTGATGAAATCCTTTGTTATATTCTTTTAGTATAGTTTTAATACAATATATTATCATAAAATAATAAATCAACCTTCTGAAACATGGAGTCAGATCCTCAAGTGCTACATCTACAAGGATGCACAGTCTTAAATTGCTATTTTTTTACTTCCCTTGTGTGGTGTATCCTTTGGATAACCTGGGTGGAAAATGCCTTCAGGGCAGGGTCTTGTGTGTCTGAAATGGCACCAAAATCTAGCTGTTGTTTTGTGTATCCCAGAATATGGATCCAAGTTCCAGGGCAGTTCTAAGTGCAGCAGGTTGAATGTTCTGTAGTGTTTAGAGAAAGCTATAAGGATGAGGTTGGGATGATCAGAGAAAACCTGAAATATTCCAGCTAACCTGTAATATTCCAACTCTCCTTTGCCTTTGAATCCCTCTTTGCCAAGCCTGCAGGCTGCCTGAGCTATCAGCACACATCCATTTGTGTTCTCACCATTAAAACAATCTCATTTGCTTTGCTGTTGTTTTTTACACTACCCCAGCTCTGGCCTCTGAAGCTTTTTGAAAATAACATTTACAATAATATTTTTAACAGTTCCGTAGTATACAAAACTCCAGTGCTCTGGCAGGACTCCCGGAAACTTGCTGAAAGTTAATGTGGTCAACTCTTAAAAAGGAGAGATTTTTTCCGCTTGACTCTTGCTTGTTAAACTCTCTGAGCCCAACATGTTCCCTGCTGCTTGAAAAAACAAGGAAAGTCCCAATTTTAGCAATGCTACTTTGAGTAGCTTTCCAGCCGAGCCCTATTTCAGGGGCAACTGTGGATTATTATTTTTATTTTTATTTTTTCTTACAGTGATGTGTCCCTACACCTCCAAACCAAAGTGCTAAGTTGTGCTCAGGCAGGAATAAGTTGGTGCTACTTTCCCTGGAAGCCTGGGGGTGATAAACTGCACAAGGAGATGCTGTTTGCTTGTGCTGCAGCAGTGGCAAGGCATGCTGGCATGAAATCTGTGTTTTATGGGGGATGCTGAGCCTCTGCAGGGCAAGAAAAATTCTTTTTGGGGTGGGTGATAGAGGAAATCCCAAGTATCAATAGCAGCTCTCAGTTTGCACTGCACTCTTCCTGCTTTCCTAACTTCATTCCTCACAGTAAATCCCCTGGTCACTTTGTTTTATCTTCCCTTACATCCAGGAAAAAATCACACTTCTCCATCCTCTCCTCCCCTGCTTTGCTTTCTGTAATTTAGATCCACAAAGGCAGGAGTCATGGATGTACAGACATGTGATAGCTCAACTGTTGTCTCCCTTGAGCTCAGTCTGCCTTAATCCCTTCCCAGCCAGGAGTGTGGGAAGAAAAAAAGAAAGGCAGGGATTAATGTTCGAAGTGGATTAATAACCTTGCATGCATCTCTCATGCAGATACTCATACCCTGCACTCATGGAGCTGTGAAGAAGTTGAGCCACTCTGCTAGGTTCAGCTCAGACAAATCAAAATTGATAAAAAATTAATTATGATAATATTGTTATATTACAATATTATAATATTATCATTGTTATATTATTACATTAAAGATAATTATTGTTATCTTAGTATATAAATGATTGTGATATTATATCACAATTAATTATTATAATAGTAAATTATTGATTAATTATTATAATATTCAAATATTGTTATTATATTAATTATTATAATATCAATCCAATTTTTATAATATTATTATTGTTTTTCCCCATCTGTGCTGGGCTTTCCTGCAGGAAGTGGCTTCCAGCAGTTCCCTGAGCAGACTGGAGCAGGCAGAGTCTCTTGCATGCACATCACAAACCTGGAATACATTGCCCCAGCATCTTGCTGAGCACTCACTGCTTGGCAGGTGCTTACCAGGGAGATTTTGAGTAGATTTACAGAGTTCTGTGGGTGCAGTGGCCACTGAGAGCCCAGTTTCAGATGCTCCCAGGTTTTGTGTCCCAAAATGCCAGCGCTGATCAGGGAGCTGAGTGGGAGAAGCCACTTGGAACAGCATCTGTAGGAAAAGGATTTTCCCTTTTTTTTCCCCCTCTTATTTTTCCCCCCCCTCCCTGTTTTTGAAGGGACATAATAATAGGACAGAATTTGTACTAGAAACAGGAATTTGTCCTTCTGGAACAGGAAGCTGCTGGTATGTATTTTTGGGAAGCCACGGAAATCACCAGCATGTGCAGTCCAGTTTGAAGGCTGCCTGTCCTCAGCACTGAGAACATTTAGCATTTTCTGCTAAAACAGAAAACCCTCCTTTCTCCTGTGTATCTGTGGAGATTCCCTGCCCTGTGTGCATGTCTGGTTTGCTACCAGGGCTGGGCAGGGGGGTCCCAGGGCTTCGCTGGGGCAGAGGTGATGGAGAACAGCACAGGGAGGGCTCTGCTGATGGAAAGGTCCCCTGTTTTTTCCAGGGCTCGTTTGCACAGTCCCTGTAGATGCTTGTTTTTGTGACTAGATATGGTTTGGAAAGGTCTGGAAGGTCTCCAGGAAGACACTGGAAAAATCTATTGCTCTGATAAGGAGAGTCAGCCTGGGCTGTCCCAGGAATTTAGTTGATCCAGACTGTCTGCCTGTGGCCCTCACTGCAAATTATGCACACAGCTTAATTCCTGGAAGTGTCACAGCAGCTTTGAAAGCAAAAGTGAAGGTTTGGGCTGTTTCCTGCCCTTGTTATAATCAGATGGAATTTTCACTCTGCTTTCTTGCTGGTTTTCTGCTCCCTCTCGATTCGGTGTTGCACAGACCGAGCAGTTCTTTCTCTAGGTAGGATTTTTAACCATTCATGCTGTTTGGTTGCTTCATTTTCTCCTCCTTGGTGTTGGAAATGTACAGAGCAGAGTTCCTGGTGGCCCAGGGCTCTCAGGCTGATGGTGCTGTGCTGGGAGGAAGCTGCAGGAGAAGGAAAAACCCTCTCAGGGCACTTGGATGTCTCTGCCTCTGCTGCTCCCTTATCACCTTCCCTTCCTGCTCGTCTCTCTCGAAATAGGTTGGATAAAAATCCCTGTGCTTGCCAGCACCGAGGCACCAGAGCTGCAGAAAATCATTTTAATCCATGCTTGGGACCATTCCTGGTCCTCCTCAGATTTGTTGCTGTGTTTGAATTGATTTGACCAAGCCAGGAGGATTTCAAAGTGCTTTTTCCTCCCATTTGTGGCCAGTGCCTCATGTTTAACACTCCAATATCCGTGTCAGTGTCCTGGATCTCTCACTGACTTCAGGGCAGCCTGCAGTGAGCGCAGGACAGGAAATGTCTCACTCCCTGTGCAAAGTCTGATCTAGTTTTTGAGGTGTTTCTCCCTTTTCTTGTGCTATCACACAGGTTTATGACCAGGAAATCTGAGGGCTTATCAGGCATCTAAAGTGGAATTTGATGATGTTTTCTATCACAGTGTGCTTTAAAAGGTGCCCATCTTTAGGTGGATTTTGCCCCAGCTAAAGTGGGATTTGATGATGTTTTCTATCACAGTGTCCTTTAAAAGGTGCCCATCTTTAGGTGGATTTTGCCTTTGTTCAGTCTAAAATGAGGCTTTTCATTAGTGAGCAGGACAGGCTCCTATGGACTCAGGCCTGCTTTAGTTTATTGGTGGCCAAAAAACCCCCAAAAACCTCTCTGGGTGCAGGAGTTTGGCTGAATGCAGGGTGGCATTTGGCTGAATGCTGAATGCAGGGTGGGAGGTCACTGAGCCCCTTCTGTGCTGGTTTTGGGGGCAGATTAAAGGCAGAAACTCTGGAGGGCTCCTGGGCACACACCTCCCATGAGGGATGGATGTACAGGGCACTCACTGCTGCTGAGAGCTGCCTGTGCTCAGCTTTTTACCCAGGCAGCCAGAGGAAAGCTGGTCCAGCCTTGGGGAACCTTGGCTGCCATTTGGAAGGCCTAAATTTAGGTTTCTGCTTTGATTCAGCACTACTTTTGCATGTCCTGCTGTCAGCCCGTTCCCTAAGTGAGTGTTACCCCACAGGGATGCTGTGGAATCTGAAGTGTTAAAGATTGTGTTGCTTTAGGGTTACATTAATCATGTAAAAACACATAAAAATATAATGTAATTAAAATGTTCTGCTCTTAAGGAAGCACAAATTGTTTACCCCAAGATTTTAAAGCCATTGACGTCCCAGGTTTGTGGTGTTACCTTTGGTGTGTGCAGAGGAAGGCAGACCCTGCTCTCCATTCCTAAATCAGGTTCTCCCCTTTCCCAGGTGATGGTGGGGACAGGCCTTGTGAAAAGTGGTCCATGACCCTGTTGTCATGTCAAAATTAACCTGTGTGTGTGTTCATTACAGGGTGGATGCTTGAGAGAGGAGGATAAGGCACCAGAGTCTGGGACCAGTGGAATGGAGGCCTGATGTAGATGGAAAGATGGGTAAGAACTGGATTCCCCTGGAGAATTCATTTTCTGCAGCCTGATAATTTTGGCTGGGACTACCAAATGTGCCAACAGACTGGGGGAAATTGCGAAGATGCTCTGACTGTTACATTGCTTTCTGATTTATGTTTAGCATTTTAGTGGCGCCAAAATTGGACAAATTTTCTTCTTATTCCGAGTGTGATCTGGTGGTTATGTTCTAGGTGGAGTCTCTCCTTGTATTTCTCTGCAGAGCATCTTCATTCCCTGCAGATCTTCTCCCAAGGAATTTTCTGTTTCAAACAAAGCTTGAATATATTGCTTTTCTAAGTGGTAACCTGGATTGCTTCCACCTTCTCCCTCTTCTGCTGGAACAGTTGTGTATCAGATGCTCTGAGGTGGTGAGGGAAACTTTATTAGGTGGAAATTATTTATAGTTCTGGAGGTACATCATGATTTCCATCTTATCTCTACAGATAAGAACTTTCTCCTAAAGAAAATACTTTATGTCAGGAATTGGCACCACTTGGAAGTGCTTAAATGGCTTCCTGACCTGGGGGACCCAAGAAAGGAGGAGAGATCTTGGAGGGTTCCTGCTTGCAGCTGAGCACTTCACTTGCACATCTGCAGCATTTACACAATTCACCCTAAACTTTTCAGGGATGGCTGAAATGATGCTTTAAAGAAGAAGAATTAAAAAGGAGATATGTGTTAAGTTTAGGGTTTGTTCTTGCAGATGTGTAGACTCACAAAATGGTTTGGGCTGGAAGGGACCTAAAAGATCATCTCATTGCAGCCCCCTGCCATGGCAGGAACACCTTCCACTGTCCCAGGGTGCTCCAAACCCTGTCCAGCCTGGCCTTGGGCATTTCCAGGGATCCAGAGTCAGCCACAGCTGCTCTGGGCACCCTGTGCTTCTCCACCTTCACAGGAAAGAATTTCTTCCTAATACCTAGTGTAAATCTTCCTTCTGTCAGTTTGAAGCCATCTCCCACTGTCCTGTCACTAACTGCCCTCATAAAAAGCCTTGTACAAACGTGATTCAGAGCTTGGTAGTGAATTTAGAAAATCAGTCTGAATTTAGAAAATGAAAAGTGTGGAGCCACTGCCACATCTTAAATGTTTATTCTCCCCTATGGAGAAAGGGGAAGAGTGGTATTTACCCATCCTGGCTTTGTGTTGTTTTTGCTTTTCCTCTGTTACCTAGAAGAGAGATTTTGTGGAAAGAGAACTAATTTAAAGCTAGGTTAAAAAAAAAAAAAAAAAAAGGGAAGGGGAGAGAAGAGAAAGTCCAGATCTGCTTCTTCAATATAAACCATGACAAATTTCAGTTTAAAATCCCTGGTGACTAACCCCAAAATTTTTTGGAAACATTTTCACTTCGAAGGCAAAAGCCACTGCTTTGTCAAGGCAATGTGGGTTATTTTAACAAGGAAAGCTCAGGCTTGCCCTGAGCATCAGCAGGGAAGGAGTTGCTGGCTCCAACCAAGCTCTCAGGAGATTGTAACTTTGGTGATTTCTTGTACAGAGAGTGGCTGATAGAACCTGCTCAAGGTGCCTTCAGCCTGCAAATGTAATATGGGTACACCAGGGCAGCATTAATTGTGGGAATTCTGTGGTGAAGAGAGGCACTGTGGCTGGTTTTGGGGATTTTTGGAGTCTTGTGCAGGTTTGGAGTTGTGGGTGGAAGGGACTGTGCGTGTCCCTCACCAAGGTTGCTGTGGCTCTTCCCCAGCATCATCCACACCTGTGTGGGGTTAGATGTGCCAGGATGTGTCCAGGTGGGGTTAATTTGAGATCCTGAGTCTGCTCTGTGGGGATGAGTGAGGTGCTGTGTGTCCCCATCAGTGTCACTGAGAGGTGTTTGTCTGTGAAAGAATCACAGTGATAGCTTTGCTGATGCACAGGAATTTGGGCTAAATTTTGAGGGTTTCACTTCTCTGCCTCTTCCTCGTATATGTGTTTCTTTACTCCATGCTTTGGGATGAGGGAGTATTTTCAAGGAAAGTGCAGAGAATTTGCAGTCACATCAGTGATTTCCTTCTGGAAATTTCCCTCCTCCTTCCCTTCACAGGAGATGTGTTGGATGAGGTGATCTCAGACAGCCTGTTCCAGATCTACCTTTTTTTTTTTTTTTTTTCCCTTTTTCCAGGATCCTATTTATAGCCTGCCCAGTGTCTCGGGGTTCAGCACAGGACTGTTCACTCCCAGATGTGTTCTAGGGAAGTTGCATGACCTTGCATGGAGCCCACAGGAGGGGAAGTGGGGACTTCTGGTGTCTCTGTGTCGTGCAGTGCTTAGGCCAGCCCTGTGCAGCCCTGGCACCCCTGGGTGCTGCAGCATCTCTGCATGGGCCTGCTTGGGACCAGCCTAAATCCTTGGCACTGAGTCTTTTTATTCCTCTTACAGTTCATTTCCAGCTGCAACCTCTCCTCAAGTGTTGCAGACAACTTTTATGGAAAATCTTTTTTTTAGGATTTTTCCTCCTGAGAAGCTGAGAGGCCTCACGAACAAAATGTAAACATTGATTATCTGCTGCTGTGGAATGCAACAGGTGCATCTGTGATTGGCCCATGTTGGTTGTTTCTAATTAATGGCCAATCACAGTCAGCTGGCTTGGACACTCTGTCTGAGACAGAAGCTTTTGTTATCATTCTTTCCTATTCTATTCTTAGCCAGCCTTCTGATGGAATCCTTTCTTCTATTCTATTAGTATAGTTTTAATGTAATATATATAATAAAATAATAATCAAACCTTCTGAAACATGGAGTCAAATCCTCATCTTTTCCCTCAACCTGAGACCCTTGTGAACACTGTCACACTCAAGGGTCCAAGACTCTTTGTAATTTGGTCACATGAGTGCTTATGACACTTTTAAAGGTGTCTGCATCTTCAGTGCAACGCAGTGGAAAAACCCTGCCCAATAAGTATTAAAAATTGCTGTGTTTAAACATGACATCACAGCAAAAATAATGTTTTAAAAACCTGCACAACTTGGTATAAAAAGCACCAGCTTGTTTGTTGCTCAAGTTTTCTTCCTTTTGTTTTAAAAATGATTTAAGTGTTCTCAGCTGTGGTTATGAAATGTGTGTGTGCATGTGTGATGGTGATGATAAAAACTGCAGGAAGGCTGATCTGTTCTGCTCAGGGGACATCCATACAACTCAAAGGTTTAGTGCTTTGCTGGGCAGAGTGTGACTTTTGCTTCAGCAGAAAGGTCACCTGAGGTGTGGGAGCTGAGAGAGTGATGTTGTTTGCAGTATTGACAGAGTGTGTGTGATTGCAGGCTGGGCTGGCAGCAGGCACAGCAGCTTGCTGGGAGCTTGTTTGAGCAGCCTTGGCCATCAAGCCCAGTTCCTTGGGGATTTTGGGGCTGCTGGAGCTGGTGGGGCAGAGCAGAGCCTGTCCCATGGGTGTCTCACCCTCCCATGCTGTGTTTTCCTCATTCCTCAGCAGGCACTGCTTTCACTCTTCATTTCCTTATTGCTCTCAGCTTTCCCTTTGTTTGCTGAGAGCTTCCAGGAAGGATTAATTCATGTTGAATTGCAGCACTTTATATTATAATAAGACACATCAGGCTTTCTGGCTCAGGTTTTGTTCTTTTTGAGAGGTGTCTGAGTTCAAAGGTGCCCGTGGTCTCCTTCTCCCTTTCCTGGCATGACACTGCCAATTTATTTACAGACACGAACAGGATGGGGCTGCTATGGAAAGTGTCTTGAGCTGTTCATTTTTCAGCATCAGTCTCATTACATGATTATGATAATGGGAAGATGCTAACAGCTCACAATCTAGGCAGCAGGCCAGAAAACTTAATTTTACAATATACTTTATAGGCTTCTCAACCAATCACTCAAAGCAAAAGCATATTGACTGTAGTTCTATCTAACTACCATAAGCACATGTACCTTTGGTTAAAACAATGCTTGCTTATTTCAAATACAATACCTGTTTGTAAACGAAAATGCACAGAGCTCCATTCATAAGCTTAACCTTCTTAATATCTTGCTAGGTAAACTTTCTGCAGCTTAGAAAGCCATTCAGACCAGCACTAATACATAGATTTATTGTTCTGTTTGCCCTTATCTTTTCTACAGTTTAAATATTTTTTTTTTCTGCTGACATGTTTCAAAACTGCTGCTTTAGCACTGTTCACATTTCTACTGTATCTGAGGCCTGTCTTCTGCAGTTTTCCTAAAACCCTCTAATTTTATCCATTCCCACAATGGCACTGCACCCATTGTGCCCAGGTATCAAATTTAGGGCGCTCTGGGCAATGTGGGATTGGACCTGCATCACATCTGGGATGTTGCAGCTGTTGCTGCAGCAACAGAATAGGAATTCATGAGCTCTGGACTGAGATTTTGAGCCTGGAAGTTGCTGGGCTGGGAAGGAGAACGAGTTCTTTATGATCCCTCAAATAACCTCCAGAAGTATCAGAGTCAGTCAGGGGAAATAACTTGCCAGTTACATCTCTTTGCTGGGTAAACATTTTTCCCCTTTCAAGTGTGCTCAAGAGAGAGGTACAGGTTGTGGGGAGAGGTAATATCTTTTATTAGACCAAATGACAGAGGTGGAAAAATCCAGGCTGCCTTTTAGGCATGTAAGTCCTTCTTCAGAAGGAGCAAATTTTAAGCTTAGCAAGGGAAACTGCTGGAATAATTGGCCCAAGTTTAATTCAATTATGTTAATCCATTAGAGGAAAATTAGTGTTTGTGGAGCAAAGGGCAGAGTTAGCAAAAAAAAGTTGTGAAAGTTTTTTGTGGGATGAGAAACCTGGCACCTTTGAAGTGGTGAGGAGTAGCAGAGCTACAGGCATGCAAAAATTTTCTTAAATGTGGTTAGTTTTGCTTTTTAAGATATAAGATTTTTAAGCCCCTGCTTGCAGCTCTCCTAGAGTAACTTTAATTCACAAAAGCAAAGGAGAAACAAGGGATTTGTCATGAGCAGTGTTGGGTTTATGGCTGGATTGTCATGAGCAGGGTTGGGTTTATGGTTGGGCTCAAAGATCCTGGCTCCT